GAGTTAATTTAGTTTATGGTTCCATTTGGATTAAGATCATTGGTTTTGATATTTCAAATGATTTATTTGTGAATCAAAAGTTGTTATTAATTGTATAAATATCCGGAGATTTCTATTCAGAGATGCTTCTGTTTGGTGGTGAAATTTCTACTACCTTCCCTCTTAGGTTTCAGGTTAGGTTAAGATTTTACTTGCAAAATGTTTACACAGTTTAGATATTATGCTTTTTTTTTTCTCTCATTCGTGTTGATTAATATGGTTAAATTCTGTTGATTGGTTCATTGGTATCTTAATTATAGGATGTGAGTAAGATTCGGCAAGTTCCTGATCATCATGTTGCTCGTGGTTTATGCTATCTTCATCTCTCTTGTGTTCTATTTTCTGACTCTCAAGAAAAAATTTTCTTTTTGGGCTCTAATTAACAATTGATGGATGACTGATTTTTTCTTGGTTTGTTTTAGGAGGTATTCCCCAACCCTGCACGTGATGAAAGCTTGATCTTTTGAGCTGTTTAGATCTTAGGCATGATGTTGGGGATAATGGAAGTGCCACCTGGTTTCTTCAGGACCTTGCCATTGAGCAAGGTGCTGAAGGATGCAGGGTAACATTCAAATACCAAGAATGGGGACATCATATTTTAGATTGCAGACAAGTGTGACTTACCTCATGTTCTAGTACTAGGCCGCACGATTAGAATACTTTCCCGCATTGTTTATCAATAATTTGAATTCTTTTTTCTCTTTTTGATATATGCTCTATGCATGCACGAAGAAAGGGGAGAATGGTTAGATGTGTTGTTCCGATATTTGTTTTAGTTGTTTCTATGACGTGAATGGATTGTAATTGACCGTGTACTGCATTTCAGTTGATTGAGCAGACTGGAGTAATTGAGGGCCCTTGATTATTTTACAGAGATGTCACTGCTGTTATTACAACTTCTGTGGTCAAATGGTATCTCCAAGTTATTCCCAGTCTAAAAAGTTTCTTTTGTGTTGCTAGAATTTTGCACTTGGTATTCTGCTGTGCTTTATATCAGTTGTGTTTGTCATTATTATTGGTATTTTCCTTCTTGTTCGTGGAAAACTTTTTGGGTGACGATTTATTATCGCTTCTGAACAAGTCATCCCCAATTATGTGCTTTTTACTAGTCTTTGAAATTTGGAACATTTTGGTTGCCTTAGGTATATAACTCAAGATTTTTGTCCTGCCAGGCTTTTTAGGTTAGATTATGCATCTGTCTGTAAGGCAAGCCTTTTGGTGTGTGTGTGTATGAAAAATGTTGTGTACCATAAATATTCCGTGATAGCCAGTAGATATGCTCCCAAATTTCTTTCTCTGACAACTCTAGATAGAGATTGGAATATTTACTTTTCTGCATTTTGATGTTTGGTTCAGGTTTGTGCTATAGTAGGATCCTTGGATGTCTATGAATCTCGGGTAGAATTGTTTTCCAATTTTCCTTGTTTGACAGTTTTATTCCTTGTCAATGTGGCCGAATCTCTCTTTTTGTGCCAGTGGTTGGTTAATTTTCTGCTATATTAGTTTAGCATTTGAATTTTGTCTTTCTTTTCTACTTTAAAAGCGATTCATTGCTAGCAATTTTACCAAGTAGAAGAGCTCCTTGCTCCCCTCCCTTTCTTTCTCTTTCGGCTTTTCTTGACCGATACCTCTAGAGGGTCATTTTGCTGAAAATTTTAAGTTTCTGAACTCTCTCCTCCTTCCGACACCCTGCAATCCCCCTCCAACGCCTCTTGGGGATTATCTTTTCCTCTCCTCTTTGGTTGATTTTTTCTTGTTATGGTTTGTTGAGATGCCTCTTGATGGTAGTAAAGATTTTGTAAGTCATTTTTTATTGTGTTAAACTGGATGGTGTTCTTGCATCTATTAGTATAGTTTTGTGCAAAGTTGATCTGTTCTTTAATATGCTAATTCAGGTTCTTTCTTCTTCCTGGGAAAAGATGAGGTTCTTTGGGAAGTATGTGTTTTCATTTTGTGTCGTTGTTCCTACTGTGTGTATATCACCTTTAAGCGACAACTTGAACGGTGGACAACTAGATTGGGTAAGGGTCTTGATCACTCGACCTCTTCTGTTTCCCCTGATCTCACATGCATGTTGTTATAATGAAAATGACTTGTCTATTTTTGTACAATTCGGCTATTTTGCCCTTGTACATGATCTATTCTGGTATAAATTTAAACTCTCCTATTTTCTGATTAAGTCTATATTTTGTACACATTTGGAAGAATAAAAAAAAACGAAGACTTAGATATATATGATTGATCTATGAGAGAATTACAATATATTTTTACTGTGTTTAGATTATTCATTTTTTTCTTTGAATGTTTGTGATGTTATCGTTTATTGAAGTTTGAAGGACGATTTTGTTTTACTTTTGCTGAGAAATAATAATGTGTGAGAAGTTCTTAAATGAGTAATACCGACGAAAAATTGTTGTGATTAGGAAGGTCTTTTTTCTTTCTTTACCTTTTATGCCGGTTCATTTA